CGAGGAGGTGACCCGAGGATAGTTACACCTCGGGTGTGCATTATTTTCTAATAATTCAACAGCCCGGAGTCAATTATTCTGCTTATACTACGGTTACTACACCTCAAGACATCGATCAGATTTTATATTTCAAGGCATTTATCCAGTTTTTGTACTTAAAATGCTATTGTGAGTAGGATTAATTTCTTACGCAGCTCATCCAACACATCCGTTACTAATTCCAAATTGTCATTTTAGACCTAGTAACGGAGGCTTGAGCCGTTGATAGCAGACTAATGCAGTTAATAACTAAGTTATTAGGGAGAGAGAGATTAAGCATGTAAATTACGTATCTGAGTCTGTGCGTCTCTCAACAGTGTTTGGCAGCAGCGTCTCTGTTAACAGTGAAACTTTGCGTTCATTTTCTTCACAAACAGTGGTGTTGTTACCTTGCTTGGAGAAATGTCATATAGCTTTTAAGTTGCTAAACTATCTTACTGATAAAATCGTCAGAGTAGCGCTAACTAGGAATGTGCAACAACGATCGAGTACTCGAGTACACTCGGCCGTGACAGCGACGATCGATCATGAAAACGATGATCATGGAAATTTTGTTTTTTTTTCTGATTGGTTATAGCAGCACTTTGGATGGCACCCTGCATGCAGTCCAAAGTATAGACGTGAGAAGAGAGAGAAGCATGGCTTCGAAGTCAAGTAGTGATGTCTGGGTTAGCTACATACATATCTGATTAATCTAATATAGGATGCGTTGGGATATTAACATTTATTAACATGCTGAATGTGCTGCATATTACCAGTGTTGAGTTTTATGCTAAAATGCTATGCTCGATATTGACAGAGTTATTTGAGACGGTCATACTACTTTTAGATGTTTCTTTTTTAATGATATTATGTTATAATAATGCAATCATATTTGTTCAACAGTAGGCATGCTTCAATTAAAATTGTTTTCATACTTTATATGGCTTAGAAAACGCACAGGCGATTTCAGGAATCACTTGATAATGTAGATGAAAATAATAGCACAAATCTGCCATAAACAGCATTATAATGAGAAATTTATAGAAATCTAGCCTATAGTAAATTCTGTCATTGCCCGTGTTTCAGCTCGCTGTCATGAAAGCGCAGAGCTCCCTCTCTCTCGCTATAGCACATAACTTAAAGTTCACTGGCATTTCATAAACATAGAATTATAATTAGAACTTTGTAGAATGTGAAATCTATAGTAAATTCACTGGCATTTCATAAACAGAATTATAATTAGAACTTTGTAGAATGTGAAATCTATAGTAAATTCACTGGCATTTCATAAACAGAATTATAATTAGAACTTTGTAGAATGTGAAATCTATAGTAAATTCTGTCTTCTTTACTTGACCGTGTTTCAGCGCTCTGTCATGAAAGCACATCACGGCGGGAGCTCTCTCTCACTCTAGCGAGTAAAATTCACTGGCATTTGAAAAAAAAAAATGTGGGGAAAAAAAAAATCATCTGCTGCTCTTGTTGGTGCTTTAGCGTCTTTATAGAGAAGTAAACGCACAGAGGAAGGGCTTGAATGAAGTGCGCTGGACTCTAAATTAAAAAACAAAAAAAACTACGGTCCACCATTTCAATGTGACTGCTCTATACAATCAAAATTAGAGGCAGTCTACCACAAATATGTTCTATATTCCTTTTCTATTCACTTGTTTTATTTTTATTAAAAAAAAAATTTGCTTACAAAATTTCAAAGTTGATTTGGATAAAAGGGTCTGCTAAATGACTAGATGTAAATATAAATGCTTATTAGTTGAAACTACAGCAAAGTAGATGGTCAGATGTAGCCTCAAGATAATGTAGATAGAGGTGAAGAATGAAAATAAGAGAAGTGGGTATGAAGGTATACAATCAGATGTGGCCCACACTCAGCAGCAGTGAACGTTCACTCAGATTTACAGGTGAAGGAGTTCTCTCCAGTATGAACTCTCATGTGAGTTTTTAGGCTATATTTATGACAAAAACTCTTTCCACATAGCTGACATATAAAACAGTTCTCTCCTGAGTGACTTCTCATGTGGTAATTTAGGCCTACTTTGTGTGCGAAACTTTTTCCACACTGAACACATATGAACTGTTTCTCTCCGGTGTGAATGGTCATGTGGCATCTACGGGTTAGTTCTGTCACAAAGCTCTTTCCACACTGATCACATGTGAACAGCTTCTCTCCCGTGTGACTTCTCATGTGGTAATTAAAGGTGTTTTTATGAGTAAAACTCTTTCTGCACTGAGTGCAAGTGTAAGGCTTCTCTCCAGAGTGAATTCTCATGTGGATTGCCAGGTTTTGTTTTTGAGGGAAATTCTTTCCACACTGTTTGCAGGTGAACAAGCTGTCTTCACTGTGAGTTCTCATGTGGGAATTAAGGTTGCCTTTATGTGCAAAACTCTGTCCACACTGAGAGCAAGTATAAGGCTTTTCTCCAGAGTGACTTCTCATGTGGACTGCAAGGTTTCCTTTTTGAGCGAAACTCTTTCCACACTGCTGGCAGTTGTAAGGCTTCTCTCCAGTGTGATATCTCATGTGAATTTTAAGGCTTTCATTGGTAGTGCAACACTTTCCACACTGTTTGCAGGTGAAAGCGATGTCTCTATTGTGAATTCTCATGTGGACCTTAAGGCTTCCTTTTCGATTGAAACTCTTTCCACACTGATGGCAGGTAAAAAAGCTCTTCGATGCAATCTTCTGGACACTTTTTTGAGAGGAGCACGTTTTAGTCAGTGTGGCTTTTTCTCCGATTTTGAAATCACGATCTTTCTCATTCTGCTCTTTCTCTTCCATATCCTTCAGCTCTTGACTCTCCTCAATCAGGTCTAAAGTGAAAAAACACAAATACAAAACCAGTTTAATGACACAAAGAAACAGACAACAAAACCAAGAGAAGGCATCAAAATCTACTTAAAAAAAAGTGTTTTCTGTAATCTCAGAAACTCTTTGCTTTCAAACTTTCAACCTGGTAGTTATCAAATGCTTTGCGAAACAGAGCTTGACCAAAGGAGAGCTGGTTTATTTTCCAGCACAGCAAAATCCAAGCTCAGTAGCACTCACTGCAGGACAGATGGAGGCGCTGGTGCGGTCACTTGATCTTAAAATACTCCGTAATTTTTAGCCATACAGATAAAAGTAATACATCTTTCAAATCTGCAAAGACCCTACTTTATTTGTGTGCACTCACAATAACAACAAAATATTGCGCTTTTGTAAAATAATGAAAATGGTGCGCTTTCTGCTGTCTCGGTCTCTGTGAACTTGACCGCGAAACTCCAAAACTCTATGTATGTTTGCCTTGCCTATGTTTGCCAGACATAAAAAAATATCTATAGAGAGTGAAATGTCTACTCTCAAATGAACCAACTCAAATAGAAGATATATATTCTCAGATTATGTAATCCGTATGAAACATGCATACAGGAGCATCCACTACTGCGGAGATGACGAGTCAGTGTTGCCGACTTCATCACTTAAGCCGAAAACAAAGAAAGCACTAGTTTATCAATGAATTATTAAAATGTTACTGCAGCCTCCTTACTGTTTTTCTCGGACACATTCATAATCATTACTTCTGCCGGTGTGCTGTAGCAAGCTGTAACAAGGCAATGTAGGCAATTAAAGGGGGTCATATGATGTGATTTCAAGTTTTCCTTTCTCTTTGGAGTGTTACAAGCTGATCGTGCATAGATAAGATCCCTGAAGTTGCAAAGACTAAAGTCTCAAAACCAAAGAGATATTCTTTATCAAAGTTAAGACTCTGCCACGCCCCCCTAAAACGGCTCGTTCTAACACACCCCCACATTTGAACATTAAAGCATGTCAACATATTCTGTTACACCAAATACACAAAATTATCTTTAAAAAAGCATCATATGACCCCTTTAAAGGCTCATTATTATGATTTAAATGGTTTATTAACCATTATAAACGTGCGATTAGTCGACTAATGCTTCAAATGAACGACTACTAGTCAACCAGAAAAATCTTTAGTTGAGGGCAGCCCTAGTACTAGCACCCTCTTCCCTCTCAGGTTGGCTTACCTGAACACTTAGGGTGGGCACTCGTGTTCGAATAGGATAGTCTCTCAACTAAATAAAACTAGTAACCTCTCCTACACCCACTGTTTTGAAAATAACAAAGTTAACTGTAAAATGCCCTTATATGTCAATAGCCGGGTTTCCATCCAAAGTTACGAATTTAACTTATGCGCAAAACTGGAATATCGCATAAAACATTTGCGAACAAGCATCGTTTCCATCCAACAAGTCAAAGAGAACAAAATCGCTACTTCCGGATAAACTGGCACTATAAATCACTAAGAAAAGTAGGAGAATATAGTAATTTTCATATATAATAAATTACTTGCGCCTCAGAGCGAGCAGACGAAACAATGAATGCTGTCATTGCTTTCGGAGGTGGATGCTGCTGTTTGGGAACGCAGTCGTGTAAGACATTTTTGGGAGGCAATTATACAGAAACACTTTGATGACAGACTTTGCTCGTGTATTTCCGAATGACCATAACAACTTTCAGATGCTGTGGAATGAGATCAGTCCACTGGTTAGTCAGGTTTTGCAAAATGCATTTCCATTTCCCAATAATCGAATGAACCCTTTTACGCACAAGTCAAAAACCACCTCAAGAGAGCGTAAAAACTTTTTTGCGAATTAAGGTATTTTTATTCGAAATTTGCCATTTCCATAACTCGTTTCTCATGCGATACTCCAAAATGCGCATTAAAATAGTGTGATGGAAACATAGCTAATGTGAATCAACATATCAACAATATGTTTTTCAGTTTATACTTTTACTCTAGTTATATAGATATTTTCTCTTAATCTGTAATAAACTTATTGTAATTGTTACTTTAAGAGATTTCAGTATTTAACAAAAGAAAATTAAAAGAGAAAATATAAAATGACCAATGACAATTTACAAATTTTACAGTAATTTAACTTTAACACTGTTGCCACAGGTTGTTTTTCATGTCTGCAGGTTGAAGCGACCCCTATAACAAGATATTTAACCCCTGGAATGCAAATTGTACTGGGGAACCATGCCAAAAAAATGTGCATTTTACCCCCCCGGAACGCGATTTTTTTTCCAGGGGACCCCCCTCGAAACACGACTGGGCTAGTTTTGAGTAGAAATTGGGCGGGTTTTGTTGTGAAATCCTAGCAACCCTGGGAGGTAGTAGAAATGACAACAACGCAGGAAAAGTGGAGCTATGGCAAGTGTAAACAGATGAATCTGATATGGGTCACAATTGAAAGAACGTGTAAACGGATGGTTAAAAAAAAATCAGATATAGGCAACAAATCAAAAAAACCCAAATGGACTCGAAGACCCGAATTCTTTTAAACTATCCCGGATGCAAACTTGCGCGTTCGTGTTCAGTGCATTTTTAAGAAACGTGCATAGAAAAAGAACAAATGTTTGCAACCTCGCAATCAGAAATTCATCTGATAGATATTAGATCCATCAGGAAAAAACACTTGCTTCATTACGCTGTGTTCATGCAGGGCTTTTCTTCTTTGTGTGGCAGGACTAGTGAAGCTCTTCCTGCTTGCATTTGGTTGGCTGGTTGTTCATTGATTGTCCTATCATCGGGCAGTGAGCGAATATATAAATTCGTGGGTGAGGTACTATGGCGTCATGAGTCACGCCCCCTTGCTTCCTGCGTTACTAGGGATGGGTGATACCACTTATTTTGTTTTCGATACGATATCGATATTTTTCAAGGCAGTATCGTCGATATCGATACCGATTCGATACTTCTGAACTAAACTTTTAAATTATGAAATTT